TATATATACCTACTACTACAGCGCGAACACCGGCTCAGGCTCACGACACACCCTCGTCAGCTGCTGTAGGTAAACAGAGGAATACCAAAATGGTGCAAACTCATGATTTCCCCAGCTGTGGGAATAAAAACATCGCCGGCTCCCAATTCCATCGGTTTCCTGTTACAGATGTAACCCGTAACTCGCGCTGTAGTAGTAGGTATATATAGGGCTAGTACATCTTTTTCCTCACTAATAATAGCCTACTGGTTCTCTGTTGGAAACAGCCGATGAAGTTTGCATTAGCCGTTGCTATCCTGCGCACCTGCAAGGCGTGGTGATAAACTGTCAAATTGATTTCTGTAGGCGTGCTGTCTTGCGGGCCTGCACGGCGGAGTGATACTGGCCAGAAAATAGTCCCAATTGATAGCAAGGTCTGACGTAATGCGGGGATGTTTTAAAATGATTGAAATAGTCTAACAAAACACATGCATACTTTTTTGTAGCTTAAAACCTTTTGGTTACGTGTCCCCCGTACATCTTCAGAACTACTTTTTCTCCGGTAAGCTATGGGCGATTTCTCAGAGCAGGAGGCTCGTTGACAGTAGTGACACCGTCACATCAGAGCTACAGATGGTCAGCGTTTCACACAACTTCATGTCCAAAAACCCGAACTATCACTTTAAATATTGATTTCCTTGTGTTTTTACAGCCAGAACTAAAAGAATAGGGTGATATCAGCTAAATTGGGCCATCAGGTAAATTTAAGACATTAAATTAAGGCCATTTAAGGTTGGAGCGTCTCAGCTCTTTAAAAGTTAACAGCCAATGATTTGAAACTGTTGCCGCAACAGTACTTGACAAGTAACAATTGATTTGATTGGTCTATGGTTGCTATGGTGGGTGGGGCAAAGCCTCATAATGAGACTGCTCCAGAGAACTGCATGGTGAGTGCCCTGACATACCAAATCTTAACTGTCAATGATAAGGTTGATAATTCAATGTACATTCAAATGTACATATATAAATAATGATGTATAATACATGTCCTGATGGCCTCCATCAGATATAATGCTAATGTTTTGCTAAATAAAATTATTTTTGATGAAAAAGCATTTTTTGTTAGTGGCCCAATTTACCTTAATGTGTTCAGGTAAATTGGGCCACACATTTCAGCTAAAATGAGCCACATTCTGAGTTGAGTTTTAGCAAATATTTTAATGGTTCCTCTTATTAAAAAGTATTAATATATAAATATATTAGTGTATTATTTTATATTACAGGCCTCTTCACATTTTCCTTTGTAATTATGTATGTGTGTGTTAGCTCTGGTCCAGGGCGCATCGTGAGCTAGCTCTCACTAGCTAGCGCTCAGTCACACACACACACACACACACACACACATACACACACACACGAGAAAGGGAAAGGTGAAAGAGGCTGATGTACTGTAGCCTAGAAGTGATAGTGGAAGATGGTTAAGTAAAGTAACATGAAACTATAATTACAGTATGGCAAACAAGAAGGAAGAGAGAGGAAAGGACATGAGGAGAAAGGAAGAGAGAGGAAATTAGATGAGGAGAAAGGAAGAGAGAGGAAAGGAGAGGAGGAGAAGGGAAGAGAGAGGAAAGGGGAGGAGGAGAAAGGAAGAGAGGAAATTAGATGAGGAGAAAGGAAGAGAGAGGAAAGGAAATGAGGAGAAAGGAAGAGAGAGGAAAGGAGAGGAGGAGAAAGGAAGAGAGAGGAAATTAGATGAGGAGAAGGGAAGAGAGAGGAAAGGAGAGAAGGAGAAAGGAAGAGAGAGGAAAAAGAAAGGATTTCTATGAGGGAAGTGGCAAGTACAACCAGCGGGTAGAGGAGAGGATGAGGGGAGCCTTAGACGAATACAGGATAATTTGATTATATTATGAAAAATGACTGTTTCACTTTGCAGTTTGAGTGGCCCATTTTAGCTGATCAGGTGGCCCATTTTACCTGAACACTGCGCATCTCAAAAATGGGGGACAGCTGATGTTTCAACAGCTGTAGGATCTTAACAATTATATTTTATTACATAAATTCAACACAAAAATATTGAAAACAGTCATTATTAATCATAGGAACACAATCAAATGTCATACATTGTTTTTTCTTAGTTTCCCAAGTGATTAACCAAAAAGTGGCCCAATTTAGCTGATATCACCCTATATTTTTGCTTTACTTTTCCAATATTTTTTTTTT